TTCTGGAGTTCCTCCTCACTCTCTTTCTGTCAGTTTCTTTCTCATGTAATCTCTCTCTTATCTATCCGAGAAGCCCTAAATTAAAGCAAGTCGAGATGAAAGGTTATTTTGCGTTTTATTGATCTGTATGTTGGTGTTTGTTTAGGTTCTTGCATTTTTTAGTGCAATGTTGACTCTTAATCAACTGAAGCAACTCGTGGTTATTTCGATTTGAGCGGAGGTCTTGAGAATGGGATGAGCTCCATCTTGTTGCAAAAGTTAGATAAATTTCTCATTAAAGATGAGCAGTTGAGCAACGAGGAACCTGAAGGAAGGATCTAGTCTTCCCTTTTCTCGGGTCATTTTCAATTACTCTTTGTTGTATCCTTTTTGGTGTTTTAATGCTTCATTAATTTATTTCATGGTAAACATAGTTATTTTAGAATATTAACGGGCTTATAGTGGTAATAGTGTTATAGAGCAATGTAAAGGATTTGGTTGTTTCATACCTGACTGATATTTTGTGTGCAATTATTAGTCAGTTGCATACAAATGCACGCATGGAAAGCAATGGCGTTGGTTACATTTTGCTGGACTTTTTGAATCAGTTCTTTATTTGTTGTTTGATTTAATCATATTTTAATAGATATACAGAAAGTGTTCCGTTCAGGAGCCCTCCATCCACATCCTCGAGTGAGTCTCCAAATAATTGATTGCTAGTTGACTTATTTGCCAAGCTCAATATGCATATGAAAAATGTTTACTTACCAATTATGCGGTAGCCCTACTCATCGTAAAATTCTATCATGTGATGAAGAGATCGAATGTTATTTTCATTTTATTGATGCTACACTTCTAAAAGATATTTATTTAAGTGAATAAGGATAGATATAATTGTGGGTACTGAAGTGCATGCTGGATGATATAGTTCCCTTCTTATTCATCAAAAGATCAAAGAGTGGTTTAATTTCAAACAACTTGGAATAGCTATAAGCAAATCGAGAAGTAAATGAAGTGTCTGTGGGTACATGTTGAAAAAGAAAAACACTAAACGTTCAGATTTTGTAATTGGCTTATGGTGGTGGATTTTTATGTAATTTCTTGTTTAGTTTTTATTACTATGTTTCGTAGTATTTTACCAACATTTGTATGCAGATCTTATGGTTGCAGGGATCACCAGATGGACCTGAACAGTAAGTTCTTTTTTCTTTTTATGGTTATTAACACTTTCCACCTCTGGCTTTTAGACTCCACAAAGATTTATTCTTTTCAGATATGTTGCAATCATGAATGCAATATTCTCTGCCCAACGCTCTGTGGTAATCGATGTTACATCCAGTATTTCTTTCTCATTGTTTCAATATATATTTGTCAAATTTCCTCCCAAATTTTCCTGTTTCATTAATTTGGCAGTTCATTACCAACTCAATTCAACCTAGTCCTCTATGTTCTTGCTTATAGTGACTTGAAAACTTTAGATGTAGTTGCGAAGTTAAATATCTCATTCTTTCTACCATCTGTAGCAGCTGTTTGGATTCTTTTGTGATTTATATATAGGGTATCACAATGACCGCTTCTAGTTGGCCAAATGGTCTTAACCTTGTAGTGGAAATATTATTGTTTTCATTCTACCACAGCTATCTTGTTTTCAAGTAGAATGATTTGCATTATATTAGTAGGTGAAATTTGGCATCTTTCATCTTTCATTTTTCAGTTTGTGGCTGTTTTTTTATTTTTCTCACTCCCAATAAACATGAATACATGCATGATACGACTAACTGGCTTGTTTATTCTTTTGTTTTGTATGTGTAATTTGTCTTGCGTCAAATGCGTTCATGTCGCCGGTCTTAATTAACTGGCTACCTTCTGCAGGTTCCTATAGACTCTTGTTACATAGGTGCACAGAATTCAGCCTTTCTGCAACAGGCATGGAAGCTTTAGTAATGCTCTCTTAATGGCCATATGCTGCAAACAGACATTGGTCATCCTCTCTCAATTCTACTGATACTCATTGATGCATGGGACTTTTAGGCTTCTTACATAACTGGTGGTGTACATCATAAGCCACAAAATTTGGATGGGCTGTTTCAGTATCTTATGGTATATTGTTTTTCTCAAACTGGTTAGCAATTTGAAATTTTGATTTAAGATCTTGCTTGTTGCCAGCAATTTTCCCACTTTGTACAGATTGATGAGCTTAACTTGATTTCTTGACATATGTTTAATAGCACTTGTTCATGATGACAGTACCTTGTAGCCTTTTGCATATCGTTAAAGTGCCTATTTCTTTACAAATGTTCTTCAAAGTGCATTTGGTTGATGAAAATTTGGGCAAATTATTTAATTAATATGTTATATTGGCCTTCCATGCAGACTATCTTTGCTACTGACTTGCATTCTCGCAGTTTCATACATCTTCCAAAGTCTGTTGGCGTAGATTTTCGTGCCTCGTAAGTTTTCATGCTCTTTTTTCTTTAACTTTAAACCATGTAATGATTGTCATACATCTTCCAAAGCCTGTTCATGTAGATTTTCGTGTCTTTTAAGTTTTCATGCTCATATTGCTTTTAACTTTAAACCATGTTGTGATTGATTGAATTCTGAAATATGCAGATGTTTTTGCCATAAAAACACCATTGACATGGGCTACATATGTTATGTATGTTTGTCGATTTTCTGCAAGCATCAGAAGAAATGCTCCACCTGTGGGTAAGCAGTTCTAGTTGTGAAGTTTGATTTTTTTTTATGTTCTGCTCCCAATGTATTTGTAGTCTCAATTATTGAACGATTAGAAGTACAGTGAGTTCTCAAGCGTTGCTTGACATAGTAGTTGTCTGGAATTGCCACAATCCATTTCTCCTCTTGAGAAACCCAGACATCTTTCAAGTGTTTTGGATTTTTCCCCATCATTCTCCGGTCCTTGCGTGTAGAGTTGATGTTTTACTTGTAAATGCAGGTCAGTATTTGATCAAGCTCAATCTGAGGTGCCTTCGGCATCTGACAAAAAGAGGAAGACTCCCAAAACATAGGTTGAGGAGGTTACTGAAGTTCTATGATCTGCTAAATTTGAGTAAGTCTTTCTTGCTCAGCACAATATTTGTTTCGTTCTAGACATTGCACTGTTTGCCTATTTTATTTTAAAAGCAATCAGTACATGAATTTTCGTTTATTTACTGAACCGAATTCTTCTGCTTGTGCAAACTCTTGATATGTGGAATTTGGACAACATAAATAATTAAATGTTGAAAGATCGAGCTTCCATTTTAAAAAATTATCTTCCCGCAAACTCGTTTATGTTGAAAAGAATTCTAGATTATTTTCCCGATCATTTATATCTTCTTTCTCGAACCATGGTTTAATTCTTCTATTTATCAGTGGTTGTGCTTGTCAGAAAAAGAGGGGGCAATGTGAGATCGTGTGCCAGAGATGCTGCATCTCTCACAATGAATTCCTCTGCTAAACCTTCAGAAGAGATTGATAGATTGGGGATAAGATTTTAATCTTTCATTCTTACTTCTCAGATCATTCACTGAACTGTTTAAGCTAATTTAGCAGAAAACATACTTTGTTATTTGTAGAAACATTCAGTGATTCAAATCTGCAGTTTTAGGAACTTAGAAAGAAAGGGGAAAATGGTGAATATAGCTTTGATTATGGATTTACAACTTTGTTTTACTGACATTGTTGTGGCAAACCATGCAACCTGATAAGTTTTTGGAAATGCTCATCTGTTTACGGGAATTTTTAACTTCAGCTGTACTTAATGGTACATTAGATGGCAAATTTTAAAATGTATCAATTTGCATAATTCTTTTTTTCTTAAAGAATACGGAATTTAGAGTTTGATTTAATAAAAATAATTATAATAGGGAAATAATAATATTAGAAATGATAGAACCCAATTTAAGATCTTGGGTATCCTTGATTTTTGGAATATAAAATCTAGTACTACTTGATAATCTTGGCAAGATAGGAGAACTAATAAATACGAAAATAATATAAAGAAGATTAACATGACATGTTTAATACATGCATTGCTTTCTCTTTCAAGATAAAGAAAAATTTAATCATGTCTAATATTTACAAAATTAAAAAAAAAGTGATATGTATACCCAAATAAATTGCAAGTATACATTTTCCCATTGGCATCCTTATGTCAATGTTGCATACTCGATTGTGACTTTGGATGAGGTTTTATGAGCTTAATGTGTTTGTTGTAATAGTGAATATCACCATAGGAGGATATTTCGTGTTATCTTTTGTATTGGGTATTATTATTAATAAACTTTGAGGTACTCTTTTCTTCATTCCAATGTTCGTTAACATACTTCTTAGTATGTGAACGAATACGAAGGGAGTTTTTAATGAGACTTCCAACTTCTATCAAAAAAAAAAAATGTTGCATACTCGGAACATCCAAATTACATTCTTCGTACAAAGTTAATATTTACATAAGCAGCAAACATGGACGAATCCGTACAAAAATAATATTTCAATAAAAATTATTAACATTATTTTCATTTTACAGCAATAACAACGACCAAACAATCCAAGCAACAATCGTCAAGCATCAATACAATCCAGAAGTTTTTTTTTTCTTTTAAATCTGAAATGGAGCAATATATTCATAGTGCCCTCATTACAACTTTGCTGGTTGCGTGGATGCCCGTTGCAGCAAGTCTTACTACGGTACGGGCCCTATATAACCTGTCAATGTCAAAGAGATTAATTCAACTGTCAATTTAGATTGAAGATTACATAGAAACATGCTAAAACCTAGCAGATTAACTTGAAATTTTGACTCCAAATCTAAAGGCACGAAGATCTTCCATATCAATATGAACGTGGATTACAGATTAAAAAGTTTACAAACTACAGATGTTTTGGCACTGTCTTGTAGTATAATAGGCTATAAGTTTTTCCAAACAATACTTCCATCAACATATTGCATGAATTTAGCTCATGGTATGTAGACAACAGATTCTACAGTACTTAAAGGAGTTCACATACTCTAATGCATTGAAGGCGTAATTGTTTCAATGCATAACAATTCCCTTGGTTTTCATAAAAGTGTGGGAAGACAAATTAATATCCTTTGCTTGATAATATAACAGCAGGCTCCGTATGTTTTCAGTATGAATCTCATCATGCGAAAAATGGTGAATACAAAATTAAATCGACAAGCCTGTTCTCTCAATCAAAAAGTACAAGCTGATTTTTACCTTAAGAGCATGAAAGGAGACTGAAAAACATGAACAAGAAAGAAACAATAGTAAAAGGAACAGTAAAACGCACCTAACCAGTGCAAGTCCCCAAGTTGATAACGCATAGAACATCTTTCCAGCATGCCAAATGCCCAGAACCTTCTCCAGTTTGCTGACACCTCCTAATGCTTTAACTAGAGCTGTTCACAATCTCGTCATAATAGGAAACAACACATAACCTTTAGTTGAATAGAAAAGTGGGAAGCGAGGCAATATAACTAGTGACGAAAACTAAGGTGCACGGTTTTCTGTCAAATCTTCAGGCGAGTTTACAAATACAAGGTCAGAAACTCATAAAAACATAAAGCCACTTTTCAAGTATATAAACACAGGTAATTATAACAACACTGTACATTGTCCACTATTGAAAAGGGAAGATACATCTAGAATTACATGCACGAGATTTATTGGTAATTATAACAACACTGTACATTGTCCACTATTGAGTTAAATGATGGAGTGAATTGTGCAATTTCTTCTTTATCAAAAGAATGAAACTGCAAGATTACCATTAATTATGCTGAAGCATTAAATAAGCAGAAATATGTTTATTTAGCTAGTAAAGGCATAAAGCCAGGTGAACAAAGCTGAAAACTTACTTTTCTGCAGTTGTTCTGGTGTTAAAGTCTGCAATACCGGTATCACAAACAAACATGAGAAAATAGTACATAATATTTATACTTTGAAAAAGAAAAAAAAAATGAAATCCGTAGCTAAAAACCTGAGCATTAGGGTTAGACAAAATGCATTTTGCCATAAAGTTAGCTACCCCATCCACAACATGCTCTTCAGTAACAACAATATAATTCTCATCATCAATTCCACTCCAGTCTTCAACATTGCTCGGAACCATTTCATCAGTTACCCAAACCCACCAACTCGGATCTTTTTGGTTAACGTTAATCAGGATATCAGCTGCATGCATATCATCCCCTAATTTAAAATCAAATCCAACAAAAAACAGAAATAAAATATCAATATTCATATTCCTAACGAATAACAATAAATAAAAGGAAAAGAAAAAATGAATCAGTATTATTTCCCCCAGCCATTGATTCAACTTGATGCGGTGATAATTTATCAGTTCAATTATGAATTTCTTAATACATTCCCTTCATTCATGGAAAAAAAACTGTATAGTATATCAGCAAGTGCAACTATTGATACAGAAATGATGAGATGACATAAAGTATTCAATAACGCGATTAACTTGAATTACAAATGTTGTGTATAAGAACCTGTAGCTTCCTTGAACGGAAACTCGATTTTAGTATTGGATCCATTAAGAGAGTTGAGTCGGGCCAAAAAGTCTTTAGATTCCACAGTAGATACCAACCTAGCATAGAGCTGCAATCAATTAAATCATTAGGTTCCAGAAATCGAAAAAATGGAAACAGAATACCAAACACAAAAAAGGGTATGGAATTTATGTACGTCAGGAGGACAATCGTTAAAGTGAGAAGGAGATTCCGGGAGATTGTTGAGGAGTTTGAGGTTCTGTTCGAGGAGGTTCCTGAGTCGTTGATTTTCGCATTTTAGGGTTTCCAATTCTTTTTCGAGCTTGGAAATGTCATGATTTTCAGGAGAATCGCCGTCGTCGTTGTGACGGTGGTGGAGGTGGTGGCAACATTCCATAGCGGTCCAGGCGACGTCGGCGACTTCGAGGACCGTCTTGGCAACCTCCACAGCTTCATGGCCGACCATTGTTTTTCAAAGAGGAACCCTAAAAAATTGAACCTTGAATTTAGGGATTTGGATTTGGGAAAAATGAAGAATTTTGACGATTGATTAGATGAAATTGGTTGGGCTTTGTCGTTTAAGTATTGCGTGTCCCAATCCCAAAGATCAGAATTCCCATTCTTAAATAATTTCAGTATTTATGTAAAATATATAAATTTTACCCTACTTTGTAATTTTCATAAACAGTGACAGTGATTTTATTATCGTACACCCGCCTACACCCGATAATTTCCTTACAAGTTAAACCCCTCCTTTAGCTTTTCTTTTCAACGCTTCCCCGTGTCTTAATGTTTATGTTCGGTCTCTGTTTCTCTCTAAACCAGTAGAAGTGAAACCTGTTCCCTAGTCCCGACAAATGGCAGAGGAGACGCACGATGGTCCCGCCGTCGAGAAAGAAGCCAAGGAAGCGACGGAGGCGACGGCGGAGAAGGACGTATCGAGTTACGAATTACCATCGCCATGCGCTCTCGCGTTGGCCACTTCAAGGAACAATCAGAGTACACAGACCCTCTCTCTCTTGCTGTTTATCTCTCTCTCTCTCTTACATTAACTAGGTTTTTAGTTTTGAATTCATAAGTTTGTAAATAAATTCGCATTACACAGTTGACTTCTAGGTATTTTGAGCGGGTGTTTGAAGGAGTTCATTCGAATTATTTGAGAAAATGGGGTTGCATTGGAATCTGTCACTTGTTTTTGTAACCTTGATTTACTTGATAATTTTGTTTAATTTGATTATTTTTTGTGTGTTTATTGGTAAGTTCATTGACATTCGAGGGAGTTCGGAGATTGTTGGAGAAAGACTTGGGGTTAGAGACGTTTGCATTGGATGTTCACAAGAGATTCGTCAAGCAATGCCAGTTAAAGGTGCCTTTTTTTACCCTTTTTAACAATATTGGAATTCCTTCTTTGCTATATTTCACTTACTTGATAAGATGCTGTTTCTCATTTAGGCTTCATGTAAATTTTGCTCTTACTTTTGCTTATTTCTTTTTCTCTTCTGAATGCAAAAAGGTCCATTTAGTTAAGCTGTTAATGCTATTTTTTAAAAATAAAACTAAAATTTTGTATATTTTATATAGGATAATGCATAATTTTACTTTCTTCTTCTTCTTTTACATGGAATAATAATGCATTTTTATAGATTTTCTCAAATGATAATTAAAGCATGCTTAATTTATTTTGCAACTGGATGTTATACAATTGATGTTAACTTTGCCTGGAAAAATTATGTTATAATTGATGTTATACTTGTCATTTTTTTATTTGCAGTATATGGTGATTTTTCTTTCTATATTTGCCTTTGTTTTACAACAACTTTTAACAAGAGGTAACTAGAAAAATTATAACACTTAGGGGCTGTTTGTTTACTTCAGAATGATTAAGCGCTGAATGATTAAGCACTGAATGATTAAGCGCTGAATGATTAAGCACTGAATGATTAAGCGCTGAATGATTCAAATGCTGAATGATTCAGAGGCTCTGCATGAATTAGCTCTGATTCCTCTGAATGTGACATGCTGTTTGATAATGGCTCTGAATCATTCAAAATGTACTTATGTGCTGAATCATTCAACCCTGTTTTGTTGAATCAGTCAGCACTGAATCATTCAGAGGTGCAAAACAAACGCGCTGAATGCTGAACGGTTCAGCATTCAGCGCTGAATGATTCCATTAAGAGACAAACAAACAACCCCTTAGCCTAGATTTTTTTTCTCTCTCCCTGTAACATAAGCATTTGTGTGAAATGCTAGTGTAAGAATGTAACTAGTGGAATATTTTTATAATTATATTCATATGGTGGAGAAGTGGTTGATCTATGCATAATCAATAGCCTTATATTTTCTGTACTATGTTTTACTTGATTATTGGTAGACTGGGCTGTAGTCAATACCCATGTTTTTTTAAAATAATGGAACTTCCAGTTTAAAGATTCTCTGGACTTGCAAGACTAGGTTTGTTAGAGAAGAGAAATTTGATTAACTGGCACAATTGTTTGGGAAAGAGCTATAGCTTAATCATTACAATGAAAATAGAAATCTTGATGCTTCTGGAAGAATTGGTTATTAATAATGCTGTGTAAAGAAGGAATAGATATGTTGGAATTTGAACTCTCAAAAAGTGTTGTTTCATATTCTCATTCTACTTTTAATTGATCAGTACACTTATCAATTCTTTATTTACAGTGTTTAGATGATGGCAATGATGATGAAGGCTCCAAAAGTTCTGGTGAAACAGTGGAGAAAAATGTAAGTACAATCACTGAAGTAACAGAATCTCCCAAAGGACAGCAATCTAAGAACGATACAAAGGAACCTTGCTCTGAAGATGACAAATTGGAAGAATCTCCTGTTTTGGGTCTTCTATCCGGACAAAAAACTATGAAGGCTGAAAATAAAGAAAATAAAGAAGCTTCTGAGAGTACAATAAAGAAAGCTATCAGAAATAGAGCATCATATGTTAAAGCTAATTCGGAGTAAGTTGCTAAATTGTTTGATTTCTCACTTCTGATCAACATAATTGCTTGTTCATTATGTTGTGTCATTGTTCTGTGGGCAATCCTTTTTTCAAGTTGCCTTTGGTATACTGAGGTGTACCATTTAATCATTGGAACTTTGATGTTTCAGTAAAGTCACAATGGCTGGACTCCGTCGGCTTTTGGAGGAAGATCTTAAACTTGATAAATATGCACTTGATTCATACAACACGTTCATAGCTGAACAATTAGATGAGGTGGGCATGCTTTGTTCGTGAAAAGTCATTTCAACTTCGTAAGCCGTCATGTGCATCGTAGCTCTCTTGTAATGTTTCTGTTAATTACCAGGTATTGAAGTCTTGTGAAGCTTCTGCTCCTGCAAGTGAGGTTAAGCAAAAAAATCTCAAGAAAAATTCTCAGAGCGGAACTGCTAAAAGGGTTAGCAAGAAATTGAGTTCTTCTTCAGGAAGTGATAATGATGAAGAAGAGGGAGACGAAGATGATGAAGAAGAAGAGGAAAAGGTGAAACCCAAAAAAAAATATCACTCCTAAAGGGAAGATTAAGAACTTTGAAGGGCTTAAAAAATGGAAAATACATAAAACAGAGGCACAGATGCCTAGCAAGAAGAGAAGCAAGCATACAGAATCAAATTCAGATGACAACAGCAATGAAGAAAATGGAAAATGGTCATTCTCGATCTTCTGCTGCAAAGACGGTGAAGATCTTGCTTCTTATTGCCCATTTTCAGTCCAAATCTATTTTCTTATAAGTTATGCATCTTTGATCTGATTTAAATTAAGCGTCTTTTAATCATAGTATTAATATGCAGAGAAAAGAAATTTCTGCACCAGTATATGGGAAACGTGTGGAACATCTGAAGTCAGTTATCAAGTCATGTGGGATGAGGTTTCACTTTGACCGACCTTTCTATGAATCTTGATCTCCACTAAGGTTGTATGTCGGTGTATGCTCATTGCTTATTTTATTTACAGTGTTCCTCCTTCTATCTACAAGAGAGTCAAACAGGTCCCTGAGAATAAGCGTGAAGCCCAAGTAGTTAAGGAACTAGAGGAGATTCTTTCCAAAGTAGGATTGTCTGCAAATCCTTCAGAAAAAGGTCAGGATTCTAGCCCCTGTACAACTCTTTTACTATTCATTTCTAGAGATGACCTTGTTTCAAGAAATATCTTTGTTACAAAATTGGGATTAAGTTTTATTTTGTCATTAGAAGCTCTTTAATGCTTGGATAACATTTTGGGAAAGAGTACATTTTATCAACTAATTTTGTCATCTCATGGAAGCCTTGACCATCAACGAGCCAAGATTATAATAGAATTATTCATTAACTAAGAGCTGATATAGTGATACCTATGTAAAGTGTAAACTCAAGTTAAAAGCATGTCCATTTCTGTTTTTTTTCCTTTTTTTCTTTTTTTGTGTTAGGAGGTTCTGTGCTGTACTCAAAATGTTTGGTGATAATTGCTTCAGATCTAATTGGAATTTCTAATGATGGGCACCCGTAATATATCTCGACATAATTGCTGTTTTAGTATCATGTAACATCTTATATAAAATCCACGTGGGATGGCAGAGACTTCCATGCCCAACGTCTCCAAGCTCAATGCATTATGGTCCACAACTCGTGCTTTTGTCAGCATTTACAGCCATCACATTCACCACCATATTCTATCTTTTCTTTAGTTCTATTAATCGAGTATTTTAAATTCTCAGAAATCAAGGACTTTAGGAGGAAGAAAGAAAGAGCGAGTTAGAAGGGATTGACATGAGTAATATTGTGTCAAGTTCGCGGAGAAGGTCCACCTCCAGTTTCGTTCCTCCACTAAAATCTAAAATACCAGATGTGAGTGATGATGATGAAAGTGAAGAAAGTGATGAGGATGACGACGATGACGATAATGATGATGAAGATGCTGGTGATGATGGCAACAGCCAGAGTGAAGAATCAGAAGAAGGCGAGTATAAAGATTTGTTCATATGCTTTGTTATAAAGTTTTATTAACTAACTTTATGCCCTGTTAATCTGGGAACCTCGGGCTTGAGAATATAAACATGCAACTGGTGAACCAACTCTGTGGTCTTAACAGATTCTTTGTCCCTGTAGACTGGAGTCAGTAGTTCAGGAGTGTTCTAATGATAAATAAATTTATCACTCTTAGCTAAGTAAAGGATTTTTTTCTTTGTTATGATACATTTAGACTTTAGAGGGATATTTATACCTTGGATAGTTTATTTAGTACTTAGTGAATCCATGATTTCACAACTGGATAAGAGAAGTGTTTGTGGCACTTTCATAAAAGGGGCAAAGTCATTTAGTTGACTACACAAAAGCCGTTGAATTGAAAATAGAAGCATTTGCAATGTAGTGGCATTTAAGACCTACTCGTCCAAATATCTGAAAGTGAAACTATAATATGCCGGCAAAAACAATTTCTTTAATACCAGCTTTTTTAGTTAGATAGTGGGTTTTCTGTTCTAAGCTAATGACAGCTGTCTTATGTAATCTGTGCATATGTTTGCAGAAGAAGAAGGCGACAGTGATTGAATCCTTCACGAGTTGAGTTTAAACTTGCAAGGTGGTGGCTCGCT